GACAGGTCCGCCCCCGCAATAGGAAGGGGGGGTTCCTTCTTTAAAAGAAGGGGGCATGCATCGGCCGGGAATCGAACCCGAGGCCGCCCGCGTGGCAGCGAGCATTTCTACCACTGAACCACCGGGCTCCGTCTCTTTTCCGACAGGGTCGCCCCGCCAATAGGAAGGGGGGGGGGTTCCTTCTTTAAAAGAACGGGCCATGCATCGGCCGGGAATCGAACCCGGCGGCCGCCCGCGTGGCAGGCGAGCATTCTACCACTGAAACCACCGATGCTCCGTCTCTTTTCCGACACGTCTCCGCCCCGCAATAGGAAGGGGAGGGGGTTCCTTTCTTAAAAGAAGGGCATTGGCATCGGCCGGAATCGAAACCCGGGCCGCCCGCGTGGCAGGCGAGCATTTCTACACTGAACAACCATTGCTCCGTCTCTTTATCCGACAGGTCCGCCCCCCGCAAAGAAGGGGGGGCGTTCCCTTCTTTAAAAAAGAAGGCATGCATCGCGCCGGAATCGAACCCGGCCGCCCGGTGGCAGCGCGAACCATTCTACCACTGAACCACCGATGCTCCGTCTCTTTTCCGACAGGTCCGCCCCCGCAATAGGAAGGTGGGGGGCGTTCCTTTCTTTAAAAGAAGGGCATGCATCGGCCGGGAATCGAACCCCGGGCCGCCCGCGTTGCGCAGGCGAGCATTCTACCACATGAACCACCGATTGCTCCGTCTCTTTTTTCCGACAGGGTCCGCCCCCGCAATAGGAAGGGGGGGGGTTCCTTCTTTAAAAGGAAGGGCATCCATCCCGGCCGGAATCGAACCCGGCCGCCGCGTGGCAGGCGAGCATTCTACCACTGAACCACCGATGCTCCGGTCTCTTCCGACAGGTCCGCCCCCGCAATAGGAAGGAACGGGAGGGGGGTTCCTTCTTTAAAAGAAGGCCATGCATTCGGCCGCGAATCGAACCCGGGCCGCCAGCGTGGCAGCGAGCATTCTACCACTGAACCACCGATGCTCACGTCTCTTTTCCGCACAGGTCCGCCCCCGCAATAGAAGGGGGGGGGGTTCCATTCTTTAAAAGAAGGGCATGCATCGGCCGCGTTGGATCGAACCCGGGCCGCCCGCGTGGACAGGCGAGCATTTCTACCACTGAACCACCCGATGCTCCGCTCTCTTTTTCCGACAGGTCCGCCCCGCAAATAGGAGGGGGGCGGGTTCCTTCTTTTAAAAAAAGGGCATGGCATCGGGCCGGGGCGAATCGAACCCGAGTGGCCGCCCGCGTGGCAGGCGACAGTCTACCACTGAACCACCGATGCTCCGTCTCTTTTTCCGACAGGTCCGCCACCGCAATAGGAAGGGGTTCCTTTCTTTAAAGCAAGGGCATGCATCGGGGCCGGAAGTCGAACCCGGGCACGCCCGGCGTTGGGCAGGGCCGAGCATTCTACCACTAACCACCGATGCTCCGTCTCTTTTCCGACAGGTCCGCGCCCCGCGCAATAGGAAGGGGGGTTCCTTCTTTAAAAAGAAGGCATGCATCCCGGGATCGAACCGGGCCGCCCGCGTGGCAGGCGAGCATTCTACCACTGAACCACCCGACTCCGTCTCTTTTTCGACAGGATCCCGCCCCGCAATAGGAAAGTGGGGGGGGGGGGGTCCTCTTTTAAAAGAAGGGCATGATCGGCCGGAAAATCGAACCCGGCGCCGCCAGCGTGGCAGCGAGCCATTCTCTACCACTAGAACCACCGATGCTCCCGTCTCGTTTCCGACAGGTCCGCCCCCGCAATAGGAAGGGGGGGGGGGGTTCCTTCTTTAAAAGAAGGGCATGCATCGGCGGGAATCGCAACCGGGCCGCCCCCGCGTGGCAGGCGAGCATTCTACCACTGAACCCAAACCACGATGCTCCGTCTCTTTTTCCGGACAGGTCCGCCCCCGCAATAGGAAGCGGGGGGCGGTTCCTTGCTTTAAAGAAGGCAGGTGCATCCGCGCGGGAATCGAACCGGGCCGGCCCGACGTGGCAGGCGCAGCATTCTACCACTGCAACCAACCCGATGCTCCGTCTCTTTTCCGACAGGTCCGCCCCCGCAATAGGAAGGGGGTTCCTTCTTTAAAAGAAAGGGCATGCATCGCCGAATCGAACCGGCCGCCGCGTGAGCAGGCGAGATCTTCTCTCTGACCTAGGTCGAACAGCAAACATCCCAAGCCGAATCAAATCCAAATTTCCCAAAGACATGCTTAAACCCCCCTAAACCAATGATATCATCCCGTATCTTCATAGAATCGTTCACGTTCCTTTCCTATTGCTCGATAGGGCAGTCCTAACAGCATACCCCCCCCAAAAAATCAAAAATAAATCCCAGCAGCTTATAGAAGAAAACAAATTAATTAAACGAGCCAGAGTATCTAATCTCAATTTGTCAGGAATGCCTAAATCCCAAAATGAAGTATGTAAAACCGAAACCCCTCGAAAGACCTTTGGTCGTACGAGAAGAAATAAATAAATTTAAAAAAATATTTCCTCTTCCATGTCCTATTCTCTCTCCGTCTCACTCCTATACCCTTACGTGAACACTATACAACCTCACGTGTCGGGAGGCCAGTTGCAAGGTCAAAGCATGTCCCGGTTGTGTCGCCACCGCCGCAGTGCAAGGGGAAGATACCTGGAGATGGAAACCCTCCGAAAATCAACCCCTCGAAAGACCTTTGGTCATACGAGAAGAAATATATTTAAAAAAATGCTTTCCTCTTCCTTGTCCTATTCTCTCTGTCTCACTCCTATACCCTTCCGTGAACACTACACTACCTCACATGTCGGGAGGCTAGTTGGAAGGTCAAAGCTCGTCCCAGTGGTGGTGCCGCCGCCACAGCCGCAGTGCAATGAAGGGGGAGACACCTGGAGAGGGAAACTCTCCGAAAATCAACGGGTTGGTGGGCACCGGGTTTCTGGCGAAGGAGAAACATTTACCTCATTCGATATACCCGCCTACTTGCGAGACTAATGATCGTAGCATGAACTCGAAAAAAAAAAATCAATCAATCGTTTTCCTCGCCCATTCCGGCTTCACGGTGGAGTGCGCATGGCTGGCGTGATGACGGCTGCCGCAGACCGCCCGCGGTCAAGGTTGTTAAGAGAGAGGATCTGCATAAGCGCTTCGGCCGCGGCGGAGAGATCGCAAGGCGCTCGTGGGCTGGCTGGCCAACGGCGGGAGGGGGCGGCGGTTTGCGCGGAATGCGCCCGCGACGCGACATGACGCGCTTTGGCTGACGGAGAGGCAATCGGAGCGGCGCGTCGATTGGACTTGAGACTAATAATGAATAATATAAACTGTCACTGGCAAGCAAATCATGTGTACTTTACTATCCAATAACAAATCAGACTTAGAGCAGCGCTTACGAGGCACACACGTGGAGCAAAGTCGATGCGCTGAAGCGCGTTTGAGCAACTGCGCGCGGCCTTGGGAAGTTCGAGCAAGTTCAGACGTGGATCACTGCTCTCTCTTTGGATGTGTCGGAAACATATCGTTGTTGTCGGATACTGTGGACATTCGACAATCGAGATATGTTAAAAATATCGCTTTAGATTACTTGAAAAATATTTTTTTTTCCGCTGGGACCGGTTAAATTTACACTGTGCAGCGCCCGCTTATTCTCGTGTAATTTGATTACGAGGTGATTTTTTTAATTGATCGATCGGTTAGGTTATCGACAACGGCTATGGTCATTGGTACCGTAAATGTAGTGCATGTGTTTATCACGGATTCTCGCGGTTATCTTCCCCCACTTGCCCAGATTTTGTCGTGTAATATTTATTTTTTGTTATTTAAGGTCGCATCAATTACTAGGTCATTAGTGATTATTGCGTGTAACGACCACTATTGCACGTTATGATGATGATAGGGGTGTGAAAAGACGAACACAATACAACCATGCTCGAGGCGGGACTAAAACCCACGTCCCTTCGTTCCGAGGTCGCTACGGCACTACTTCCTTAGCGATCTCGGCCATCCGGACCGGCTGGAGTATTTTGATTACGCAGGGCGTCGCTTTTTTAATTGATTAATCGGTTGTGTCGGATTTCCGTAGCCCTACAACGGGTATGGCCATTAGTACTGTGAGTATAGTGCATTTGTTTATCGCGGGATGTCGCAGTGATCTTCTCCCCGCTGAATAGGGTGATCGGCGTCAATGCACACGTTAGCTTCCTAGGTTTTCCTCGTATAGGAATCTTCCAACAGCTGGGCACCGTCCCAGTCGGCACAAGCTCTAAGCTCCCGGCTGGTCTCCCGGGTTGTGTGGTGGTGAAGTACATGAATGAATGTGTAAGTAAGGAATCAGGATAGGGCAAGGAAGAGAAAGGAAATATTGCGCAAAAGAAAGTACCGTAACGGGCAGCACACGATCTTTCCTGCCCCTTCTCTGTCCTATCCTATCCCTAATTTAAACAGACGCTCACATGCCCTACACTTCCGCACATACCAGGAGACCTGCCGGGAGCTTAGTGGTTGTCCCGGTGGGGGCGGTGCCCCGCTGGTGGGAGGTTGGAGAAAAAACCCGCTAGCCGACGGGCAGGTCCGCGCCGGATCTCACCATCCAAAGGGGGAAAATCACACTGCCGCCTGGAAAAAATCATGCCTTACACTTTACAAACAGTATTTGAGCAACATATAAAAAAAAATAATATCGGAAGGAAATTAGCGAATGGGAACACAGGTATTCTGTGACGAATGACGCGTGGTGATCGTTTCAATCAAAGACCAACGTAATGGGAAGTGATGTGTGCAGCGTCGTAAATATTGCATTGTAACTGTAACATCGGAGGAGACCAGGCGAGGCAGCGGAGCAGTACGGACGCGTCGCGATGAGTTCCGCGCTACGTGGTTATTTTTTTTGATAATGTGATTTTGACGTTAAAACGCGGAAATTGTTTAGCATTATGATATGTGTTTTTTGATAAAGTATAATCATTTTGAAATCTCAATTCGAAAGTGAAATAAGAAATGATATTCGTATTTTTCAGTGTGGAGGATGATATGCAGATGGATCATGAACGGAGCCCTTGAAGAGTTGGTATTAATGGTCCAAGAGTTATTCGTCGGCTGAGTGGGCAGCAAAAACAACAAAAGGGAAGTGAACGTTTTAAGAAGAGACTGAACAGAAATGTACAAGGGGTAAGAGTTGATTAACTTTTTTATACAAAAATAATAAAATCGATAATGGCCATGACATTTCAGCCACGTACATGAATCGGTCTGTGCATTTGATGAATGAATGGACATGACTATCATTAATTGGATGTGAATGTCTTGTTATTAACTAAAATGTTTGTTACCGTTTTATGATGTTTATTATGTTATTTATTTTATAACTTCCGAAGCCGATCTTTGATAATAAACAGCATATTAGTGTTGTTTGTTAGAAATGTCTAGATAGATACAACCTCAGTATAACTCCTGCATGAGTACACATCGCCAGACATGTGACATTGTGTGTAATCCTCTCATGTACTATTACTGTACTTGTCACTTTCTTTGTCTTTCGCAAGACCCGCTAAATCGTCACCTAAAGAATATCATAATTTTCATAAATTGTGAACATGCGGCTTTTTAGCCATCGGCATGGGTCGATGTGGATTGCGGATTGTACGTCGCAAAGGAAAATACGTTACTATTGGCAACGCTGGTTTCCTTTGAAATTGTTGAAAATTCTTCCTTTGAAAAAGTTCCGTTTCTATTCCCTGACTTCTAATATTTCCAGGAGTATACGATGAACACGCTTATAACGATCCCTTTTAAGTCAAAGTATCGTGTGTTCGTTCACGTTCCTTTAAACTCAACTCGTTTGCTCGTCCACGTTTCCCCTTACCAAACTTTTGAATTATCAAATATGTTCTTCTAAATACTGCTACAGTGAATGAAAAATTGCTTGAAATGTAACAAGTCTTGTTATCGAAGTTTGTTTTATCCAGGCTTTGTCTGTATATTTAAATATAAATGTTCAACGGCAGATTATAAAAAATATTTTTGGATTTTGAAAATACAAAATACTGTCAGAAAGTATTTTCGAGACAGATACAAAAACATGCTCAAGTACACATTTTTGATACAAAATACAAATGACAAAAGTATCGGAAATATTATTTTAACTAAATGTACTTTTGATACTGTCCAACTATGCATGGTAATTAATGGCTGTCCTGAATTTATGTTAAGCCTACCATTATGTAATTTAGACGGGGCCAATGATATGTCCTGATTATTAACTCCCGACCTACAATTTATATGCCTTTATTTTTTGAAAATTATATTTAAGGGAGTAATATTCCGTCTTTGATTCTTCAGTTACCTCATCACACACTTAACAGGAATCGTCAGGATGATTTACTATTGCTGCGATATTGCAAGGAATTTTTTTTACAATATTAACACTAGAACTCAACGAAGAGATTAATCGCGCAATACAGAAATATCGCCACCCTTCTCGCTCGTCACGCCGCAAGCAATTAAAACGCAGTGATCCACGTACATAAAGCGCCGAGTCGCCGCGTCGTTTACGTGGGCCACTGCAATTCCCTCCGCAATGCGCAAAGTTGCTCAACTGACCGGCTTAGACCGGTTTAGCATCTGTTTTATTGTTTTTGAATTTTTTTAGCTTAGCCGAGGGTTTGTGTACTTGTGTTGCAGTTCGCACGCATTTCGTGTTTTACAGCTTTGTGGAAGTGGCTTGATGAGGGTTTGTGTCGGACCTTATTCAACAGCCAAATCGGCGTTTGTGTTGCACCACGCCCTCAGAATATCCGAGGGGAGTGCTTGTCTTCTTTGCCCTATAGTGAGGACGTGTTGAGATAATTGTTTTAGCGTTGCCGGAGCTTCGTCTGTTTGAAAGGCTTGATGAGCTTCTCTAAACTAAAGCCGTCTCAAGCATTGAGTGAAGGACTCGATATCAAGTTTCTTACTCAGTACTTTCAACCGTTTCCGTAACGGAGGGCGTGCTATGAGCCGGAGAACTTTGTTCTGTACCAGCTCAAGTGTATCCTTGTACGTCATTGCTGTGGGCCACCACGTTGTCTCAGCGTAGGTGGCTACAGACCGGCAACACGTTTTATAGAGTGCCACGCGAAGTTTCAAGGGGAGTGTAGATTCCCTCAAAAGCGGTTGAAAGTGTCGAACTCTTTGCAGTAATTTTGATGCTTTAGGTGCCCATATCGTGAGTGAGTGTCATGACATTTCATGACTTGAATGTAAACTACAATATCATACATTGTTTGCGACCACCGTCTTGTAATAAATCTACAAGCAACTAGCGTTTCGGCATAAACGACACGTGGCTTCCTGCGAAATAAACATAGTTTTAGTATATGTGCGATTACACGAAATCTGTGCCCGATGGCCAATTTTTGTAATTGTATTCGGCTTTAAGGTATCTAAATACATAAGAAATAGCTAGAATTAGTCATTTAGCAAAATCACCGTCGATCAGTGTTATCAACAAATTAATTACACTGGTATACGTTTAATTGTAATATGGAAACATCAGATACTTTCAAAGAATAAAAAAGCTAGACATTATTTGCAATAATGTGAAAGACTCCTCACAATCTGCAACAAATTGCATAATACTTTTTAAAAATAATTTTTTTAAATTCTCACGAGATACTGTTCAACATTATTGTTTGCCATAAATAATGTGCTAGGTCTACTAGTATTTAATATATACAAATTTACATATAGCTTAATATTTAGCTGTAGTAGTCTTAAACTATACAAATTAATTTTTTTATCTGCTTCGTTTATAAGACGTCCATTATATTCCGTTACATTTAATAGCCTCTTGACCTGATCTTTGTTATCTTTCTTCTTCGAACAAGTAGGCTAAGAGCATCGAATTAAAATGATTGTGTATATTAAATTCGCCGGAAAGTCTTTTCACAATCACAGATATTGGAATTGACAGAAAACGTTTACGAGGCTGTTATTTTCCCCCAAAATAATAATTTATCCGTCTTTTAGCGTTGGCTTTCTTATCGCTGTCTTCTACTATATAACGAATGTTATCAAGGACGTTGTGTTTCAGAAATGCGTCAACTGAAGGTAAGTTACGTACTGTCCATAAGAGCGGTTTTGTGCTAAATTATTCTTAAGTTCCAATATTTACGACCAGTCTAAATCGGTGATCTAGAGTACAACATCTAAAAGAGTAAGACAAAAATAATTTCGAATATATATAAAAATATTTGGCATATGTTAATAATTGAATCGGTGCAAACAAAAAGGTTCAATGTCACATTATACCGGTTTTAAGTTAAAGGTGGGAAACTGCTCTTAAAATATAAATTCAAATTTCTTTGGATATAAATTCGTTGTCCGTTAACTCTGTGATGTCTGTAGAGTGTCCTTCGACTATTAATGTTAATAAAAAATGATCGATGTACGGAATTCAGAACCGTTTTGCTTGCTCTTCAGAATTTGAAGCTCCTGGACATCGAACGGTTTGGTTTTCTCGGATTCAATTATATTTGTTTTTATCATATTTGGGTTAGAGCATAATTATTTTTGGAATCGCTTGCGCAATATAAGTTGCTCCGTCATGCCAATTTTTGCTCCTGCTTATTAAATTCTATATTAATGATGCGATATCGACAACAAAACATCGCTGTTGGGAAACATCGATGTTCAAAATTAAAACATCGATATTTATCGAACAATATCCACCGATGTTTTTATACATCGATGTTTTAAAACTGGTTTTATAACCACAGTGTAATATATATCTTGCGCCGTGGTCACACCTCATGCGTGCACAACACAATTTCATTAGACAGTGGCCGTGTGTATTTATTTACAATCCAAAACTTATTGAAAACAAAGTTATAAAACACCTAACCGTGTGCGACATAAGAGGAAAAGCGAAGGAAATACGAGGACATCAGGATCATCTCAGGCTGCGAGGAATAGCAGGCTCTTCAATGAAGGTAGTACAAACGGTAGTTATTTCATATTTTAACTTTAACAAAATTGTGTTTTAAGAAAACCTCAAAAACGTAAAAGACGAGTAAAAAGATCCATATTCACAAAAACCACTGCTTCAATGCACCGATGTTTAAAACATTGATGTTTTTATAGAAACATCTATGTTTAAAACATTGGTAACAATGTTGCAACCCTACTCTATAATTTTCGCTAAATTTTTTTTTTTGGGGGGGGGGTGTTTTACACACTGTTGAAGGGTGCAAAAAAGGTACCCCCAAAATTGTGAAAATTAGTTTAATTTATTTGCAAAGTTTGTGAAAATGTTCACTTTCCATTCAACCACCTTTCAACCTAACCATAAATACTCAACATGATCTGAGTAACTCCATGGTTTTTAAGTGAGAGATTTATTCCATAGGCCTGTTTTCGTGACCAAAGATTTGTTTTCTTGTATCGAAATTCTTATCCGTTCTGTTATGTGTGGTCATCGTGTATGATGGCTGAAGAAGTTGTCGAATGTTATGTCAACAGCTCATTGGAGCAAAAGGCGGGACATTGTATGATGCGAGAGCTGTCAATGTCAGGTTCAAGTTGAATGCTGACTGCATATGTGACTACATCCAACATACTTTGCTTGGATTTGAAGAAGCGTGCGCTGAAGTGTCTTTGCATTCACTGCCAAGGAAGATTGAAGTGTTTCGCAAATTTGGTTGCAGATTTGGTGAATTTAAAATCCAACGGAAATGAGCTTGCTGAACAGAAGAAAAAACAAGTCAGTGACTTCTTATTGCGATTGTGGTTGTCAGTGACATGTCTGTGTGAGTGAGATTACAACTGGCAGGTGGAATCGCGGAAACAACCAGTTAATTTCAAAGTATTAGTAAGGTATTCGAGGGTTCTGAGCAAACTTTGCGTAAAAAAGTATGCTGATTAGGTTTCAGATATTTTTAGTGATATTTGTGGTATAGATAGTGACGATATTGAGAGTTTTTTGAGATTCGCTAAATGTAATTAGGACTGGAATTATCCTACGTATGTCATTTTGAAAAATCCGTATTTAGTTGCCTCTACGCTTAAAAACAAGAATAGGTGTGCTGCACCATACAAGATAAACTGTGTTTTAACATTGACGTAGAGAAATGAACTAAAGAATATGTAGAAGAACAGGATATATTAAATAACTAGAAGTGCTATAACAGTACATACATTCTCGCATTATTTCTGAATTTGCAATTTTCGAAAATTAAGGGATTTTGACGGAAATCAGACTTGCGGCTTTCTTTTAAGCGTCCCTTGTTATATACGCGGAAAAACTTTAAGAAATAAATGGCTTTTGAGAAAATGTTTTTATGATTGACATTTTCTTTAAGCAGAAATTACGTGAAAATACTCCTTTATTAAAATTGTATATGGCCTTTTAGAATGATGTGATTTCGTAGAATAGATTTTTATAAATAAAAATATGTATCCTTAGTTGTGCATTTTTGCAAAAAAAAAATAAGGAATTTCAACGAATATGTGGTCTAAAACATTATTTTAAGCATTCTTTACGCTGTTTGAGGTCAAAGTATAACCCAAAAATGTGTGCTATTTTTGAGACAATTTAGAAAATGTTTTTTGGATTATTGAAAAGAAGCCTAAAAATATCCACTTTAAAATTGCAGAGCCTGCAGTTTGTTTAGACCAGTCGAAGAATATCAATTTTGGGGGTAATCGCCCTACGATTTAGGCGCTACTATTGACCACAGTCAGACGTTTTGGCGTCAGTCGATTTTTCAGTAACAAGGACCCAAAAAACATGAATTCTGAATACACAACGTGTAATTCACTACATGTAGAAACAAGATTTATCCATTTTTTTGTTACCAGGGCCCGTCAATGAGAGTTTTTCTGTCGAATAAATCACCCATTTCCGGTGCACGATTACAATACTTTCTTTCCTTATGAATTAAGGCGAGTAAGGAAAAATAGTTAGACGAAAACTATTAGATATGTAAATGAGCACACAAACATTTTTAATTTGTACATCAAAGTGAAAATAGTGGTTCTACCGAATGGCGCAGAGTTTCTCGTTAGTGTTTTTATCTATTCAATTTTAATATACATTTTTATTGGATTGTGACATAAAGAGATTTAAAGGAAATTATAAGCTAAACAGTTCGTAAAGTAGCTTTTAATAAAATTTATAGAAATGTTTTTGATACACTTCCAATGTCTCTAACGTTGATCAAGTGTGTTCCGAAAATGATTTTCTAGTAAATTACAACTCAATGGGAAAATAATTGGGGCTCATTTCCATCAACGAGTCACTTTCTAATGTCGCAATTGCAGTTATATGAATTCAGAACTCTCGCTATTTATCATCACGTGAACAATGTTTCCTAGAAACCCAATATTTGTGTCAATGGCTTACATTAATGTCTGCACACCAGAAAAATATTTGTTTCATAGCTTGCCCCTAGTGCACAGTCTTAGGACTCGAGCGACCACCAAACTCGTGAATAGGTTGTTGCCAGTCATTTCTTATTTTATGTCATAAAATTTTTCAAACGGCTGCAGAACTCCGTTCTACACGTGTGAGGTAGCGTGGATCATTCCTTTCCAACTCACGACGAAAGATTTACAGCGACATTCGCGGATGTATGACCGAAATCGCAATATTCATGTGTAATAAAGCAGTGTAACCTCCGATCCCTCATAGACATCAACCGTTGTCACTGCAGCGCCTCTGACCAGGAGGCCATGAATTTCGCGTCCCAACGGTGGCAGGATTTTCGACACTACCTTGTCAGCTAGGTCCAATTCAGTCGCTGTCTGGAGGAGAGTTCTAGCTGCTCTCTTTTTCGTGGTTTATCCGACCAACACCAGGCGACGGAGCAGTACCCTAACAAACGGGCCACAGATCGTGCGCGTATCTTCCCCTTCCTGGTCGTTTTCTCACCCCTTACACTCACTTACGTGCAGAACACTACCGCGTACGCCGGGAGAACATATATGCCGGAAAAACAGTTGATAACTTAGAACTTGTCCCGAGCGGGTCGGTGCTTCAATGATGGGAGATATGTGGTTGGGGAAATCAGCACTAGGAGCGTGTAGGTCCCCGCTGTATCTCACCAACGGGGAAAGATGATCGCCACCTCCTCCGACGAAAACATGCATTACACTTACAACCTGAGACGTTGACGCGCGCAGAATCACTAATCAATCAGTGAAAATAAGTTGTTTTTTATGTACTACGTTTATGAAATAAAATCCCACGGTGAAATCCAAATAAACTAGATAATACCCCGTGTCGTGTTTCTTTCTTTTTTTTGCAAGCCCGTGAGAGAGCGGCGTGTGCTTTGCCCGCAGGTGGCGCTGGCGGCGGCGGCGGCGTTCGTCACGCTGTGCGCGTCGGCGGCCGCGCAGCCCCTCGAGCCGTGGCCCCCGATGGGCACGCAGGGCCCCGTGCCCCCAAAGCGGATCGTCTTGGCGCGGCGCCGGCCGCTTCGCCGGCACGCGCACAGGCATCACCACACGGTGACGAACGGAAACGAACAGGATGGAATCGGTTTCAGCGGTTCGGTGCCGAACGGATACGTACCGTTCGGAAACACGCTCAGCGGTGGGGAGCCGAACGGAAACGCACCGAACGGTGTGGGGATAATTGGTAGCGGGCCAAACGGTGACTCGACGAATGACAATGTTGAGAACGGGTACATACCGAACTCTAACGTAATGAACGGAAACGGGTTAAAAGATAATTGGGTGCGTAAGTACATTTTACTTAGAAACAGATCAAATGGCGTTGGGTCAAACGGTAACAGGCTGAATGAAGATATGCTTAACGGAAAGGGGTTAAACGGTTACGGACCTAACCGAAACTGGATGAATAGCAACGGTTACCTACTGCCTAAGAGGAATATTCAAAGCGGCCCAAAGGGCAAAACGTATAATCGTTCGCCGCGGAATGGTATGATACCGAAGCACAATTTGTTAAACGGACACCCAGAAACAGTTCATCGTCCGAATCGGAAAGGCACCGACATCCCCAAAGACGGGTGGCTAAACGGAAACGTACCGAACGGCAACCTACAGAAGGCCATGACTCGAAACAAAGCGGATGCTCGCGGTAGCATGCGAAGCAGCGGAGGTAACGAAAACCAACTCGATCTGAAGATGGGAAACGTTGGCTCCCAGCAGGGGAACGACTCCAAACCCGACTTGCAGATCGAAAAACCCACTTCCGGTGACGAGCTGAACGAAAATCCACCGCTCGGTGGCGCACAAAGCAGGAACACCACCGACAGCGACGTGTCCGTGGGCAATGCCAACAACACCGATGAGACGAGCAATAGGCCGAACGAAGGTAAGCCGAAAGGTAAACCAAAGGGCGGGACGAAACACAAAGGTAAGCCGAAGGGCGGGACGAAAAACAAAGGTAAGCGGAAACCCTGCAAGAAAAAACAAGGCGCGCCGAAGCGAGGGGCTGCGCCGGACGACGAGGTACCGAAGAAGCCCGAAGATGCGGAAACGAAGCCCGTCGGGTGCGAACACTGCGGCGGCGACAAGATGCAGACGACCGACGCGAGCCCGGCGGAGGCCGACGCGGCCAGGGGCACCACGACCGAGTTCCCGCCCGTCTCCGACCAGTTCTTGGCGCTCGTCGTCCAGGAGGTGCGTACGCGCTTCGCTCGCCCCGTTTGCTCGCCAGGCGGCGGTAGCTCAGAGGCCACGCTTTAGTCTTCGCTGCGGCGCTGGCCCGGGGGGTCCAGTCCCGACGACGCGAAGGCCGGCTCTCCTCTCGAGATTAGGGACATTAGGCAACAAGACATCGATGGTTTCGAGCACAAACATCGGTATTATGACATCGATGTTTCATTCCGATCGATATATTAGTTCGGAAACATCGATGTTTTCAAAAAAATGATATAAATAAAATTTCCAGTACATAATATTTTTGTGCATTTTGTTCGTTATCAACAGTGGTCTTTCCGAATTCCAATCCCGACGACGCGAAGGCCGGCTCTCCTCTCGAGATTAGGGACATGAGGCAACAAGACATCGATGGTTTCGAGCACAGACATCGATATTATGACAATGATGTTTCATTCCGATCGATATATTGGTTCAATGACATCGATGTTTTCAAAAAAAATATATAAATAAAATTTCCAGCTCACAATTTTTTGTGCATTTTGTTCGCTATTAACAGCCATTCACAACTGTCACTGTTATCGGTCCCCAGACGGCACAAAACCGTTTGCTATTTGCAACCTTCAGTGTTATTACCTTTTTTCATTATTGTTTACGTGGTTATGTCGTTAAACTTCATTGTGAATCTTGACTACAGAGAACAATGATTATAGAATGAAGATGACAGTCAAATATAAGACAGAAAATGCATTAAACTAATATTGTCGTGTTATGTATTACATTAGAATCAAGATAGATTACTTCGATATGTTACATCATATGTAAAACATCGATATTTTAAACATCGATGTTTTTGTTGATGTTTTCATCGACATCGAAAACCTTTTGTTGATGTATCGAAGTATCGATGTTTTGCTAAACTTTGCCATCACTGGGTCGAATTTAATAACTATCTGGAATAGAATTCCAACGGCCGGCTGCTCTGATCGGTAGTTTTCCTTGGCTTCTCCGATCAACTCCAGACAAATGCCGGAGCAGTACCCTAACAAACAGGCGACGGACCGCGGGCGATCATTTCTTCCTCTTCATTGTCCTATCCTCACCCCTTACACACACACTTACTGTTATATTTATTACACTACCGCACATATCGGAAGCTTAGAGCTTGTCCCTGGTGTTGCTATGCGGGGGGGGGGGACCTCGCATGCTCAAGTAGAGGCCTAGTATGTCAAGTTCCAAGGGAGAAATCAACGTTTCTTCTGACATAATTAGAATTCTTTACAGTTACGGGAATTATGTAGACTGCCCCGGGCTCTGTAAATACTCTATGATGTCCAGAAAGCTGACCAATTGTCATTTCGACTTACCAAGACCTAAATTTGTGTAGGTTGTTTTACGTTTTAAGTATACAAGTCGTTAACAAATTTCAATATTTTTACGTGTTTATCCGAAAAGTATGAAAAGCGTATAGTTTTCTCACTTTAAAATTTGTGTTGATGTATTACTAACTTAACTCTATTGTTTACTGAGAAACATTAACATCCTAATTATCTCCGTTGTTCTAAGTTTCGATGTCGAGAATTCGTCTATTTCAAGTTATCCATGCTCAAACAAACAGGCATTTGGTTAGCATACTAGGCATTATTGTTACTATATGACTACTATCTTTAGTGCAACATTATTACTAATCCATTAATATTACTGCACCAAGAAAACTGGTTGAAGAGAGACTGTTCCTTAATCACAGTCAGATCGCACACCAATCTTACAAAGGTGCAATGGCAATTTTTCGGCAGAAATTCTCGTGTTGAGGGTCCCTGACAAGGAAAAAGTAAATAATTGTGGCTCCTACGTGTTGTAAATTACTTCCTCTTGTAAATCGCGCATTTAGAATTCTCGTTTTGCTGTCTCTCGTTGATAACCAAAATTGGTCTGTGACTGTGAACTACTGGCGCCGAAACCGCTCATAGGATTTCCCGTAAAATTGATGTTCTTCGATCAATCTGGCCGCACTCGGAACTCGAATTTGATACATAGTTTTGGCGGTACCACACTTTTAATTTTTATTCCAAATTGACTTCATTTTTTTCTTTCTTACCTTACGAAAGAACTTTTTATTCTTTGTTTTCGAGTAGAGTGAAGTACGCATACAAATGCCATAGGCCCTACTTTCATTGAATTCTCGGAGCTATAAAAAATTTCAGAAATTAAAAGTTTCTGGCGTTTTTCTACAACTGCAATGTGTAAGATAGAGATTTTTAATGAAATCTCTTCTTCAAAATTAGATATTGAAATAATATGAAAATGTTATTGTGCTGTTCAGCTTTCCTCTTCAGGTACCTTCCCCAGCGAGGCACTGCCGCCCCAGCCGGCACAAGCACTAAGTTTCCGACCGGTCTCCCGGCGTGTAGCGTATGTAAGTGTGTGGGTGGGTGTACGTAAGGAGTTATGATAGGACAAGGAAGAGAAAAGAAAGATCGCGCGCTGTTCGTGGTCCATTTGCCAGAGAATTGCTCCGGCATTCGCCTGGTGTTGATCGGAGAAACCACGGAAGACAACCGATCAGAGCAGCCAGCCTCTAGAATTTTCCTCCAGGCAGCGATTGAATTCAACCTAGTAATCTAGTCGATAAGCCGTCAACATCGGGATTTGAAGCCTACGATCTCATGGTCAGAGACGCTGCAGATTCAGCGGCAATGCTGGCTCTGAGCTATGTCAGCCTGTGCTGGTGTAGTGAATGTGTTTGTTTGATCATTACGTCCAATCAAACTTTGTTTTGAGGTTTTCTTTGCAGTGCTATACATTATCATGACGAATACTTATTTGTTAATTTGCCATGATTACTCAAATATGTTTTGCCGAAAATGACAATGGGACTCGGGCGTTTAGGTGCTAAAAAAACTGAAAAATATGTATTTTTTCTTTGCATAAAAAGTGGAAACCATGTCATTGGTGGTAGACAACCTTCTATTTAAAACAAAAAAATACAGGAGGAAGAAATACATTTTTTGATGTTAACATGTAGTTGGCTAGGCGTATTAAATATTTATTTAACGTTATATTAATATTTTCTGGAAGCACCTTGCCAGAACCTCTCATTTGGCTGTTACCACATTCGAGATAGTCTCATCAATAAATTGTAAAGGTCCCATAGGAGGTTTTTACTTTACAAACTATGTAAAAATTATCTATATAAAAATCTCTCAGATAAGTAGCCGAGATCGAAGCAAAATGTAGCCGTTTTCGGCGAAGCAAAACATAGCCGAAATCGTAGCCGCGCCGAAAACGAAGTAAAACGTGACTTCCTTTTATCACCCTTGGGATTTCGTCTGTGAAATCTGACGAAGATTGGGAGTATTTTTTAAATTTTAAATGAAATTAAAAAGTTCAGTTAGTATTTAACTTTATATTTTCATTTACTGGTTTACAATCTACCTTCGTCTAATTTACTACTATAATTAATGTTCATTTGACGAGGGGACTCAGAGAGCACCTCAATTGATTTATTATATATTGCTAAATATGTCCAAGAATGCATATAAGGGATATATGTTTTTGTTTGACGTTTTGTACATTTGCCCAGGTGGAAATTTCTGCTTTGGTTGATCAGAGATTGGGAGTTGCTCGTGTGATATGTGTATGTTATCGCTCGGTGTAACATTGTCTGAATCTAAAGAAGTGTTGGAAATGTCTCAGACGTATTGACAGGACGTCACCCAGACTCACTTTGCTAATTAGGGGAAGTCCTACAGTAAAATGTGATAACTATTGCATTCAAAAGTGGCACATCATTTACCATATAACCATAAGCTCCAAAGTAATAATCTTGAAATTACTCAAAATAGTAATTTATTCAGATGAAATTTAGCGAACTATGTTATATTTGTTTCATCGAAATTATTTATTTTTATGCAAATTAAAATATTTATTTTTAGGTGAAGTGCAATTTGTTATGTGAAAACTATGGGACGCTACTTGATTTTCTACTAAACTTTCAATGCTCAAAATTAGGGGCAAAATATGTATTTACCTAAAATTCCGAGCTCCTGTGATAGCATAAAATATAATTACCGTACAAAACTCGGAAGAGAGAAATACTAATCACTTACAAAATACAATATTATAATGGTCAATACAATCGATCGCAAGATGTATGGCTAATGTGTAATTAAAGCACCACCGGCTCTAATTAGAACGGTGAATCTAACCTACCTTCTATTTGATGTGTGGGCAGTATTCACTGGCTAACTTTCTTATTAGACCGGTCCACCTTATCTATCCTCCGTGGCGAGATGCGTAGGTAATGCGTTGCCGCGCTGATAACAGGTGCTGAAGAAGCTGACGGCGTCTTCCAGCACGGAAGGCGCGCCCACGACGGCCGATCCCACAGAGACGAAGGCGAAACATTGGGGGTCCGGCCCAATGCACGGCCCCAACCCGCGCCCGGTCCGTCCGCCCTACCGCCCGCCTCCGTTCGCAGAAGAGCGCCCGCGCCCCATGTACAACCACAACGAGCCGTACCACCCGCCTCTGGAGGACCACCACGTGTGGCAGCCGCCACTGTCCTTCGAGCCCGCTCCCCCCTCTCAGTTTGTCCACTCTCCCGTTTACCTCCGAGACTGGTAGGGGGTGAACGTGTGTAGTATTGAATGGACATGGAGGTATAGTGAAGAGTTGGAGTTATATAACGCACTAGATAGAGATGGTGTACATGAAAATAAATAATATACATTTATTTGCTATTATTATTGCCTCTTTCTTCTAGCCCTTATTCATTCCATTTTCAATCGGGTCCATGTAGTTATTCCCTTTTTTATAAAACGACAATGTGAAATGTAAAATACCACAGCAATCTCTCCTACGTCGCGAGATGTGGGCGTAATGTGTTGCTGCGCTGATAACAGGTGATGAAGAAGCTGAAAGAAGAGTCTGCCAGCACAGAAATCCCGCCCAGGATGGACGGGCCGGGGGCAGACTCGAATCGTTGGCCTGGGCCTACGCAAGGCGTGAATCCGGGGCCGATTCGTAGACCGATTCCGGGCCAGTTGCGTCCGCCACCGAAAGCGATTTTCAGCCCGCCCCTTAAGTTCAACACCGATTCGAAGCACCTGTCTTTCTTTTGTCAAACTCAACATTCCTACGAGACCGCCCCTCCCTCTGGTCTTGTCGATCTTCTTCTTTGGTCCTATCTTCCATATACGGAAGTTAGGTGACCCATAACACGGATTTTCTTGGGATAAATTATTCAGTGTGGTTTCCCGTTGCCTTCCCTGATATGATAATGATGATGATTATGATGATGATGATGATGATGATGATGATGATGATGATGGGGGTGAAAGGTCGAACACAATACAACCATGCCCGAGGCGGAACTCGAACCCGCGATATTTCGGTACGAGATGGCTACGGTACTACTGCCTTAGCGATCTCGGCCGCCGGATCGGCGGTCTTGTCGATGCCCCATTTTAATTTCCGGAATTTGTAGAAGAACGAATATATAGCATGTAGGTGATCTTATGGTGAAGAGGTTATATTACACACTAGATAGATACGAGTATAAACATGAAAATGAATACTAAACATCTAGTTGCTATTATTATTGCCTCTCTTTTTCTTATGCATTCCATTTGCAAATCGCGTTCATATAATTATTCCCTTTCAAAAAACCAAAATGTCAAATGTAATAGCGAGGATTGGTAAGAGGATAACGTAAATATTGCACGTAGGTGATTTTATGGTGAAGAGATGGCGTTATAATACTCACTAGCGCTTTGACTGCTCGACACCAGTAGATACGCAAAATATTTCCGTATGTAGCTGCCTCTGGGCGAGTTCTTTCGGTCAATCGGGTTGTCGCTGGGAGCCTCTGGACGAGATCGCTCGTGTAGACGTACTATTCACCTATCGCTAGGTCTTTCTGATAACTTAGATGTCTTGCGCGGTACCTATGTGAGAGCGAGCTCAGCTCACTACGAAACCCGCAGTGAGACGCTTGACGCAAGACGCGTGACTCACAAGCGCTAGAGCTAGATCGAGATCGTGATTATGAAAATAAATTATATATACACTTTGCTATTATTAATTTCTTTCTTTTTCTGCTAGCATTATGCATTTAATTTTTCTTTGGGTCTTTATAATTATCCCCTTTTATTAAACAAAAATGTCAAATGTATTAGTCTACATGTTATCTACTACTTTCATGTGCATTAATTGAGTTCTCATTGTATTTGTAATGGGTTGAAGTTCTCAAAGTTCAGTAATATTCTACAATTGCTCTAGATGTTATACTGTTTATGCCCAATTTAGTGCTATGTAATCTTTTTAATCTTTTGACGTACAAACACGTTAGACGAGCGGTTTTGTTTATAACGCCCATATTTTAGAAACATTTTGAACTCATGCACCATCCACAGAAAATTTGTTACAACACCCGTAAAGAAAAAGTTAAAATAAAATGCCCATTACATGTGTAGTTGCAAAAGTACCAGGCTATTGTAGAAATTTGGGATTGCAATTCGCTACACTGTGTTAATTTCAATACAAATACATATAACAATTATTAAACTGTTTTATTTATTATTTTTATTATTATTTAATAGGTAATTGTTACACTTATAAATTAAATAACATGATACTATGTAGCTAGACTGAAGGCCTTACAGCTATTACAATACCTACATCCTACCGTGTTCTATCCTTTCGAATGTTATGTGGTGTGCTATTTCATTTATGTGTAGATATTAATATATTTTTTGTTGCTAATGAACCATGGTGATCTTGTTATTAATCTGAAATATTTGTTTTGAAATACTTGTAATTTGGTGAGATTGAGTTTGGCGACATTGGTGCATATGGCGCATGCGTATACTAGTGTAAGGCGAATGATTTGTATAGCCTAAGTGCATTCGACATTGGGAGATGATTGTATGGTTTTTAGTAAAGGCCTTCATTAGATAAGTTTGGTTGTTTTTCTGTTGAGCTTTTATCTCAATGTGTTGTTTCCAATTAAGTTTATTATCTAAATTTAATCAAAGATCTTTTATTGTTTTCGTGACTGGAGTAATTTTTTTATTTATAAGTAGCGGGGATGGATATGCAAAAGGCTATAATGAGAAGACTTTTGCTAATGATTTTCAGGGATTTAATTCAATATTCCAGTTCTTTATTTGTTATTATATTTCGATGCTGTTGGAGCTGGAATTTGTGAGTTTGTAATGATGTATCGGAGATATATAAGTGTCATCAGCAAATTATTAATCAGAATTAGGGGGGGGGTAGCGGCGAATCTTGGGGGACTACAGCGGCAACTTGTCTGGGATTAGAAAAATGACCATCTATTGTTACTGAGAAAGTTCTGTTTGATATGGAATTTTTGATGTCTTGAATTAAATAGTTTGGCGTACCAATTTGGACTAATTTGAAGTACAGGGCTGGATGCCATATTCTGTCAAATGCTTGTGACACATATAGAAATACAGTGGTGGTGTGATATCTCTTTTGGAAAGCAGAGCGGATGTGTTCAGTTAGCCTCAATAGCTGGTGCATCGTAGAGTGACGGGATATGAAACCGATTGGTGGGGCGGAAATGAGTTCGTCTTATTTATGTGTTTCCAATCAACGAATATCAACTACCCTATCATCAAAAAGAGAAATGCGTATATTTAAGACACCAAAATAATTAGTCTTTCTTTGTGATTGTGTCAAAAAAATGTTGAATGAATAATGAATAAAACATTTTGTTAGGACCAAATGATACAAGTAACGAAGAAAAGTACTATGCATGGCGAGATATGCTGGGGTGGACGAAGCAAAGTCGTACCTGAGCTACATTGGCCGATTTAAGCTGAGAGGCAAGGTGTGCCCGAAAAAAGGCGAGTACTTCAGCTAGTGTTCAATGAAATTTAATTAAATATCTATTTCTTTTCGAGTTTTCAAAGTATAAGAATTATAATTGTAATGAATATTTTGCCGGTACACAAATCGGCCTACAAATATTTGTAAAACAAAGAAATGTAGCACAGGGAGTGCAGCTATCAGTGCAGAGAGAAGCGGTAAACATTAAAACGAGTATCGTTTCGCATTAATGCCAACCCCACTTCTTAGCTATCATTGGTTGAATTAAGCATAAATAAAAGCAACGAGCGTTGTTCACAAAATCTGATATCCAGCAACGTTTGCACCCGTGTAATAGAAACTATTGTGCACTGAAAAACGATCTGCAGATTTGAGACAACTCTCCTTTCACCGAAATATCCATCCCTCCCACTCGTTTCGCATTTAGCAAAATGAGGGCTCAAGAAAACGAGTATGGACAGTACTTTGTTGGTGACAATATGATTACAATAATTTCTTCTCCGATCATAACTTACGAGAAATTTATCCGATTTATGAGATTATATCTTTAAAATGGGCTTATTATATTTTTAGAGTTTTAAGATAATCAATGTCAGCTAATCTACGAATCCTCGCACTCGTAACAAAGATGGCGCCCGAGGGGGAAACAATGTACGCAATGGGCGTATTAACACACGTCGCTTCCTTAAGTCTAGTTTACGAGAAATATGTTGGATCAGTAAATTTCTATCTTTCTAAATGCGTTTATTTGATTTATATCCAATGTTTAATAACTCATGCAGACACAAACACAAAAGGGTCAGACCCAAAGACTTGGAACTATGTATGTCGCGTGCTGAATCCGAAGCCAAAATTGCGCCACCGCCCACAGGTTTTTTTAATCGCGAAAAACACCGGGAAAATGACACTATCACAGTGTTTTTCGCGATTTAAAAACAAGACACCAAAAGACATGGAAGTATGTATGTCGATGTGCTGAATCCGAAGCCAAAATTGCGCCACCGCCCTCTAGTGTTTTTCGCGAAAAAACATCGGGAAAATGACACTATCACAGTGTTTTTCGCAATTTAAAAACAACTACAGGTTCATGGTGCAATTCTGGCTTCACATTCGTATATACTCAAGAATAGCAGGGCTAAATAGCTCATCATTAAAAATAGCGATGTTACAGCGGGATGTCAAAGAATTCCAATTACAAATTCATATAGTAGATTGATTCACATAATGTAATCGTCTGAATAATTACTTATCTCTCAAAATTAGTTTCTGAACCGTTGATGTGCATACCAAATCGAACGCGTTGGTCCAGGTTGTTACGGGAAACAATAGGATATAAATATTTTATGCATTCTGAAGATATAACAAAACAAGTTAATAAGTGCACAACTCTAAGACAAAAGGCTTTCGATTGTTCCTAGTATGTTGAGAGTCGTTAAATGTTTTAAATTGCTTAATTAAATACTCAGGAATGAAAGAAACGTCCTTAAAGCTGACTGAAACTACTCAGCACGCAAAGAAAGATAGCTCATAGCTTGAGGCTAATTAAGTGTTCTACCCGAATTTTTAAGCTTTTGTAGTTTTAAAAATCAGTTTTAAAACAGCTTGATTATTAATTCAGCTGAAACGAAATTAAAAATATAAATTCTCTACAAAAATTCTCATGATATTTGTAGACACGCAAAAATTAC